TAAAATCTTAAAAAAATTCATTAAAAAAACAGTTTATGATAAACACTGCTCTCGGTGAAAATGCTTTAAAGGTAGTTGGAATGACAACCAAGGGCTTAGAATACTACATAAACCTAGCTGATTCAGCTGCAACAGAGTTTGAGAGGATTGACCCCAACTTGAAGGAAGCTCTACTATAGGTGAAAACTATCAAACAGCATCACATGCCACAAATAAATAATTTGTGAGAGGAAGAGTCAATCACTGCGGCAAACTTCAGTGTGGTCTTACTTTAAGAAATTGCCACAACCACCCCAACCTTCAGCAACTCCACCCTGATCAGTGGGCAGCCATCACCATCGAGGTAAGACACTCCACCAGCAAAAAGATTATGATTCGCTCAAAGCTCAGAGGATGACTAGCATGTTTTAGCAATAAAGGATTTTTTAATTAAGGTATGTATGGGGCACCTGGGTGGGTCAGTCAGTTAACCGTCTGACTCTTCATTTTGGCTCAGGGCATGATCTCAGTGTTGTGAGATTCAGCCCCACGTTGGGCTCTACACTGGGCATGGAGCCTGCTTGTGATTCTCTCTCTCTCCCTTTGCGCCCCCTCCTCTCTTTGTCTCCTAAAAAATTAAAGTATGCATATAGTTTTTTAAGGCACAGTACTATAGCACACTTACTAGACCATAGTAGAGTATAAACATAATTTTATATGCACTGGGAAACCAAAAACATAAAAATTCCTCTGACTTACTATATTGTGATATTCACTTCACTGCTGTGGTCTGGAATCAAACCCACAGTATGTCAGAGGCATGCCTGTATTGTTCAGTGCCAAAAAGAAATGAGCTTATCAGGCCATGGAAAGGCACGGAAGAACCTTAGATATGTATTACTAAGTGAAATAAGCCAATCTAAAAAGGGCTATATATTGTATGATTCCAACTCTCTGACAGTCTGGAAAAGGTAAAAACTACAGAAAAAGTACAAAGATCAGTGGGGGAGGGAGGGATAAACAGGCAGACTGTAGAGGATTTTATTTTATTTTTTTAAATTATTTATTTATTTGACAGACAGAGATCACAAGTAGGCAGAGAGGCAGGCAGAGAGAGAGGAGGAAGCAGGCTCCCCACTGAGCAGAGAGCCCAATGCGGGGCTCAATCCCAGGACCCTGGGATCACGACCTGAGCCGAAGGCAGAGGCTTTAACCCATTGAGCCACCCAGGCACCCCAGACCATAGAGGATTTTAGAGCAGTGAAATTACTATGTACTCTGTAACATGGGATACATGTCATCAAAGGCTTGTCAAACCGAACAGAATGTAACAACATCAATAATCAACCTAATGTAACTATGAGCTTTATGACCTGTGGCTGGAAGTTGAGAGACTCTAGCACATGGGCTTCTCTGAGGCAGGATGCTGAGAGTAGGGAAGGCTGTGTGTGCATGTCAGGGAAGAGGGTACATGGGAACTCTCTGTACTTTCTGCTCAGTTCTGCTGTGAACCTAAAATTGCTCTATAGGATGAGGTCAGTTTTTTCAAACAAGTGATGCTGGGGGCACTCAGTCTCATACCCTGCCCCTGGGGCTTTCAGTCTTGAATGCAAGGGCAGGGCCAGACTTTACTTTTCCCATCTCTTCAGGGACAGGTTGTCCCCTTGGTCCGAACTTAATTTCCTTGATTTGACTCTTGGAAGGGCCTGAGGTTCCCCTCTTTCTTGGTCTGAGGATATCTCCCCAGAGAAACACTTACACTTCCCTTCCCTGAGATCTAAGAGGAAGAGGCGAGAGCTGCCTTATCTGGCCACACCTGCCAAGATCACCCACAGGTGACAGCTGTGGCAGGCAGTCTGAGGCCCTATGATGGTGAATCCCACTCAGGGTTTGAACTCAGTATCCTAAATCTGACTTATGTGGAGCCCTAAGACTCCTCTCTCTGCTGACCTGGAACCTCCCCATATTTCTATTACCCCCAAGGAGGATATGAGGCCAGCTCTGCCTGACATTTCTGCCAGAAGCTCTCATGGCAGTTGGATGGAGTCTGTGAGTGCCCACCAAGGTAGGTCTGGTGGTTCCTGAGCACACTTGAGCACTACCTCTACTGACCTGAGTCAATCAACCTCAGACCAAGATCGTCACCTTTTTGACCTGTTAAGTGGAAGTGGAAGTCAGCTTCAGCCACGTCCTTCCAAGGCTGTTTGGGGACTCTGAGGGCTGAGAGGCAGGGTCAGGAGCCTATGGGCCACAATGTTCTGGGTGGCTGCTGTCTTCACTCGTCATTCCAAGTCCTCACCTTCGCATGTGTCAGAGACTGTAAGTTGTCCCTCTAGGGACCTGGGCTCCTCCTAAGGCAGGACTCACCTGTCCCTGAGAATCCTGAAGAATAAGAGAGGGGATGCCCAGACTGACAACTTTGCCTGGCATGTTGCTCTCCCCAGTCCTACTATAAAGAGATCTTCATTATGGCTCCTCTTCTTGATTGAAGGCTTCCTGGGAAAGGCCATGTCTCTGCAAACTCTTGACCATTATCCCTATTGCAAACCCTTCAGAGACTGGGTCCCTGTCCCAGGAGTGATGTGAGATAGGGGAGCTGTAACACAAGGCAGAGACCCCAGAACACATGCGCTGTCAAAGGACAAAAAAATACTTTAATCCGTTTCTTCTCTTTAGCTACCAGATTTGGCTTTTTATGTAACTTCTGTTTGAATAGGTGTAATCTTCTTTATGGAAGGGACTATCCAAAATGATTTTGTGAGCCCTGATCGTCTGAGGTTTTCTGACTTTGTATATATAGATGATCCTATTGTCACTGAATATTATCTCTTTCTCTTCTTTATTCACACTTCTCAATTATTTTGATATGGTAATTGCTCTGGTTATGTATTTTAATCCAGTGTCTTGGGCACAGAATCCCTTTTAGTACCTGAGACAATTTTGTAGTAGTGAGAAGAAAGGGGAAATAAGGAACGTGAATTCAGCCTCAGGCTGGGAGGAGTAGAGAAGTGTGGACTTCATACTAATTCAGGCCAGGGGTCTGGTTCCAAACCTTCCACTTAGCAGCTATGAGAAATGGGGCACAACACCAAACTCTGTGAGGCTGTCTTTTCATCTGTGAAGTGGGTTTGATGGACTCTGTCCTGGGGACTGGTAGAGTGTCCATAATGCACATAAAAGTAAGGGTTGCTGGGGGGAGGGGTAAGGGAGAGGGTGGTGGGGTTATGGACATTGGGGAAGGTAAGTGCTATGGTGAGTGCTGTGAAGTGTGTAAACCTGGTGATTCATAGGCCTGTACCCCTGGGGCTAATAATAAATTATATGTTAATAAAAAAATAAAAAATAGGGGCGCCAGTGTGGCTCAGTGGGTTAGGGCCTCTGCCTTCAGCTCGGGTCATGATCCCAGGGTCCTTGGATCGAGCCCCGCATCAGGCTCTCTGCTTGGTGGGGAGCCTGCTTCCTCCTCTCTCTGCCTCTGCCTGCCTCTGTTCCTACTTGTCTGTCAAATAAGTAAATAAAATCTTTTAAAAAAATTAAAAATTTAAAAATTATTTTTAAAAAAGTGCGTGGCACATTGCCTGGCCAGGATTGCACTTTAAAGGATGCCAGTTCTTACTCTAATTTGTGCCCTGGAGTTTCAACTCACTACGAATAGATTTAATTTTTAATCCGGGGATGTCAGGAACTATGCAGTGCTCTAGAACAAAGAAAACTCTATCAGACAAAACAGTGCTTAGTAAGAAATGCTAAGTAATAGTTCCCCATTCAATTACTTCACCCAATGATTGACATAAGGTCGACTTCCTTAGTGGATGCAACACAAAGCTCCTAAAACACATTTCAAGGCCGCCAAAAGCACCTTCCTCTCAGCTGCCCTTCTTTCCAAACCCCTCTGACTCTCATTCATTCAACCACCAGTAGAAAACTAGACCTTGCCTGGAGTTTGCCAAATGACAAGATAACCTAATTTGAATGATGTGTTAGTGGAGTGGGTCCTGGTTCCCCCAGCCCAGGGCCAAGGGTGCCAGTCCAGTGGATTCTGGGCATCCACTAAGGGAGTACTCCATTATTTCTCAGAAACTCTCCAGAGATGATATAAATACAACCTCGAATTTGCACACTGCCTTTGCCTGCACCGGGGCAAGAGCACAGGACACCTTCCATCCCCTCCCCAGGTGATTTTCTCTCTGGCTTTCGCACCATCCCAAAGTAACTGGCAAGGGCAGTTTGCCATTCTGGGCCCTGCTCCATGCAGCCAACTTAGAATTGCCTCCCACTGAGGGAACTGCAGGCTCCAAAGGCCCAAAGGGGCCCTGCTTCAGGGCACTGACACTTAACTGCTCTAACCTGGAACCACCTCTCTCCTGTTTTATCTCATCTTTTCATGAATCCTTTCGGCCTTAAGAGTATATATTACCATTTTCCCTTATACGATAGATGCTTCTCCACTCTGTAACTTTATGCTCAGTGTCTCAGTCTTTTTCTCAGCTCTCCCAGTGCCAGTATGAAGCCTTCTGAGAGCAGATGCTCAGGCAATGTTTGGGGAATAAATGAGCCTGAAGCATGGCATCTAATTCGTGAAGGTTTAATTCTACACTCTTCAGTTAGTCAAGCACATACTGTTATTTAGAACTTTATAAAACACAGAGTAAAGAGGATTAGGAAGTCAAATACCAACCATCTTATGACTTTTCTCTGTATCAATTTCATATATTTTACTACTTTTTTTTTCACGTTTTCAAGGGAACGCATGCACCAATGCCATGTTACGTTGTACCAGATTATTAAATAAGATGGAAAATTTCCCAATTTGTTCTATAAAACAGCAATACTCTTGACTCTTAAACCTGGTAAACAACAATAAGTGAGACCAATGTAACTCATGAATTTAGTTTATAATGCTAGATAAGCCTGCATTTTGAAGTAACATTTGAAAAAGAGCAAAAAATAAAAATGCTGATGAGTCTCCCATTACCCATACAGAATAGGAGCACGGGGGTATTATACACTGTGCTCCCTCAGTCACACCTTGCCTTCTACTACTTAGAACACTGACTGCTCCCTTCAGCCACAATATGAAGAACCTGCCTCAACTTCATTAGGTGTGGGAGGTGCTGCTAGACATTCCCTGGAACATTCACTGGCCGTGGCACCTGTCTCGGCCTGTCGTGTAACCATGGCTTTGACTCGTTCTTCCTCATCTCGCAGAGCCTCTTCATACCAGGAGTGGAAGGCACTGGGGACGGTATGATTAATCTTGGCCCAAAACTCTAGCACTTTCATCTTGCTGGTCTCGGCGTGGGCTCTGGGACCCCATAGGAACTCGTAGCGTGCAGGATCACTGTTGGGCACCTGCCGGTACTCCAGGTACTTAAGCTTCACCAAATCCTGGGTGATGAGCTTCTTGGGTTCCCCAAATATGAAATGCCGCTTCCCTGCGAAGACTCTCATCTTATTCAGGAACTCCCAGATGTTCTCTTCGGTGGCACAGTTGCCCTTCATGAAGATCACACCCAGGAGATTCATCAGAAGACCGGTCTTGGGAAATCCTCTGCCACGGCTTATAGTCCCATTGTTAGGGAGGTCCATTTTACTGACCAGGATATAGGAATGCTTGGTAGAATCGACTTCCTTTAAGTCAACACCAAAAACCACTTCCAAGTTGAAAGAGGCTCTTCTGAGGATCTCAAGGAAGCGATTTTTGTACTTTTTATTGACAATCTTCAGCATATTGGCTTTCGTGATGGGCTTTTTCCTTTTGTACATATACATCAGGAACTGCACCAAAATACCTGTTGCTCTGGTTAAAGTGTCTCCTTGAGACTGCACAATGGTGAGTGGGGCCTGGGAGGAACTTGGCTTTTTCTCAGTTTTGCGGTTGGCTCCTTTATATGATCTTGTGGGAGAAACGCCTGTAGGCTTAGTGGATGGGGCTCTCTCAGACCCCTTGAGAGTGCTACATGACCTAGCTGCAGGTTTTCTGTGAGTAAGAACACCAAAGGGCGGAGGGGCCAAGGAGGGGAAGGTTTTCTCCTTGGCTACAGTGGTCTGAACACTGCTCTGATGCTGGATCCCACCTTGGGCTTGGTGGCGTTTCTCACAGGTGTGGAGCTTACTCGTTTGTCCCCGAGGCATGATGACTGTGGTCAGGGACAGCAGGTAGTAGTGTGGGCAGGACAGGAGTTGATCTGGGCATGAGAGAAGAAAAGATGAAAGGGAGCACCTTCTACAGGGAGAGACCACCTTGGCTATAACCAAGGCTGCCTCTGCAGGTTTCTGTGAGGGCACGGCTCTGGGAAACCACAGGGCTCCTGTTATGATCAACCTGTACTCTGAGAATCCTGTGGAAATAATTAAAGTGAGCCTCAGGATGTAGCCTTCCAGCCCTGGTTGGTGCTTACTGGGGCTGAAAGCAGCAGAGGCAGGTCTAGTCCTTGTGAGATCCTCTCTACTCTGGAGTGTGAGGATCCTTTCAGTTCATATTCAGGACCATCATATCAACTTTTGTCAAGGCTCAGGCCCTCTCCTCTGTGCTGCTCTAAATTTACATCTCAAACCCAGGCCCTCAACTTCTTGGGATCCCTCAGGAGGAACGAAAGGGGCACCTTGGCCCATTATTGTTGCCTCTGCCCACAACTGTCACCAACTGCTGACAGTTCTGTGGGACTCTCTATTCTAGAGTCATTGGGGTTCTCAGTCCTCATTCAGTGTCCTCATCTTGGCTCTAGGTAGAGCCTGGGACACCTTCCTCTGCTGGTCTGGTCTTTCCCCTCAGACAAAAGCTCTCACCAACCTGATACCATCAAAAATAAAGTAGGGCTCACACACCCCTGACTTCCATGCCTGGGCTCCTTAGTGCTGTAGACAAGGGGGGGTGCTCTCTGTTGTCTCTTTTTGGGGGTGAGTACCATCGCTCTTCATTCAGAGTCCTCATTCTGATGCCTGTGAAGCCCACAGTCTCTCTCTGCAGAACTGAGGCTGCTCAATTAATCCAGCAGCCTTACCTCTCTGGGACTCTCCAGACAGAAATGAGGGGGGTGCCTCAGTCTAAGAAATATTTGTGGTTTTCCCAGGGCTGAGAGAAGGGTCAGAATTTATGAGATACACTTTTTAGAGTTGGTGCTCCCTTTAGTCTTCACTCAGGTCTCTGACCTTAACTATAGGTAGGACTTAGGACTCCTGCCTCCAACACACTAGCAAGACTTGGGCCTTCTGCCTCAGAGCAAATCCCTCAATTCCCAGTCCCTAGAAGGGAAAGTCAGGGTCTTCCACATAGGACTACTCCCACCTAGAGCCTCCAGGAATAAGTACAGGGATGCTGCTTTCTTTAACTGGGGAGAGGCCCTCATAAGTACTCAGGGACCTCACTTTCACCGCAGACAGGTCCTAGGTCTCCTCCATCTGCAGGACCCAGGCTACTCCTTTAAACCAAGGCCCTCCCTACCTGAGACTTTCCAGGCAGAAAATCTGATAGCTCTGCTGGGTCCTACCAGAGTCAACAGCAGTACTGAGACTTAGTGGAGCCCCACGTGTTATGGATCGGGATGCTTCCCCCAGTCCCCACACAAGGTCCTCACCTTGACTCCAGGCTAATCCTGAAAATTTACCCTCGGGGTCCAGAGGCCTCACCCACAGACAAATGATCTCACTTCCTGGAAACTGAATGGAAGTAAAGATGAGTCATATCCGGCCACAACTGCCCAGGGTCTCTAAGGGCTGAAAGCAGGGGCAGGGCTCTCTGAGACACTACTGTTCTGGAGCCGGTGGTTTCTATATCCTCGCTTAGGGTCTTCATTTTGGTATCTATCAGAGCCTGGAACTCCTCCCTCCACTAAATTGAGTTCACCAAGCTCCAAACAAAGCCTTCACTTCCGGGAGCTCTCGGGGAGTGGGGAGCGAGTGGTTGTCAGGGCCTGCCTGGAGCCCCCCAGAACCATATGCAAGGGTAGAGTTTTCTGTTGCCATCTCTACAGGGAAGAGATCCCCTCATTAGCCCTCAGGAACCTCCCCTTGGCTCTCATTAGGGCCTACGTTTCCTTCCTCTGGAGAATCAGGGCTACTCTCTAAGACCAAGGCCTTCTTCCCTAAGACCTCCCAGGCAGAACTCAGCCTAACAGCCGTGTCAGGAGCTTCCATTGCCGAACCCAGGGGCAGTATTTTGTGGGACCACCTTTGTTATAGGAGGGGAAGTGGTCCCTTCACTTCACATTCAGGTCCTCACCTTGACTTCAGAGAAGTCCTGAGAACCCACCCTCGGCGGAACAAACACTACGCCCACTGGTCGATGTACCGATCTCTGAAGCGGAAGTTCAGATGAATCATATCCGGCTATGGCTGCCTGGGGTTCTGAGGACTGAGAGCAAGGACGAGGCTCTGTGGGATCGCAGTGCCAGATACCAAGGTGAGGATCCCGAGTGAGGACCTAGGGACTACCAACTTCAGAAGACTGCAATCCCACGAACTTGTGACTCCTCCCCCTACTGACCCAAGTCAGCCAGCCCCCAAAGCCAGCCCTCACCTTTCTGAGCCCCTGGTGAGAAGTCAGGATGCACTGCTTCTGCCTACCCTTGCCTCAGGCCCGAGACTTGAAAAGAGGGACAGGACTCTGTGAGCCTCCCTCTTTTGGGAAGAGATGATCTCATTAGCACTGTGGGTTCTCACCTTGACTCCAGTTATGGCCAAGACTTCTCTCTCTGCAGAAATGGGGCCCATCTTGTTAAACAAGGCACTTCCCTCCCTGAAACTCACCAGGCAGAAACAAAAAGGATTCTCAGGCTTATAGCTCTGCCTGAAGCCTCCCACGGTTAGGAATGGGGGCGGGGAGTTGTAAAGCCCCCTCGTTTGTGGGTCTAGCAATGTCCTTACTCACTTAGGGACCTGACCTTGCTCCTGGTGGGTTGTGTGACCCCATCCTCTCTGACATGAAGTTACTCTACTGAGATCAAGGTCTGCTCCTTCCTGAGACCTCCCAGGTGGAAGAGTGAGCCACATTAGGCCAGGGATGTTTGGGTCCTGAGAGGCAGATGGCAGAGTCAAGTCTCTTTGGAACACCACTGTTCTGGAGTTGGTGGTCCCCACATTCATGACCCAGGGACCTCAACTTGTTACCTATCCAACCCAGGATCCTTCCTCTACTGAAGTGTAACCATTCTCCTTAGGCTAAGACTCTGACCTTGCTGAAAACTCAGAGGAGTAGAAGAGGGGATGCCCACTCTGATTGCCCTGCCTGGGCTGTCTAGGCCTGAGACCAGGCTTGGCAGTTCTCTGAATGACCCCCTATAATGTGGGGTAGTCGTCTCTGCAGTCTCTTTCATTGGGGTTCTCTCAGATCAAAGAATTCTTGGGAAACTCCACATCCATGCAAACTGGAGCAGTGTCCCTAATGCAAACCTTGCAGGTTCCTGTCCCTGAATTGATGTGAGATAGGAAAACTGCAACATAAGATAGCGGACCCAAGAGAGAGGTGGACAAAGAAAATGATGCTGATTTATCCTTTTTTATCAGTAGTCAGCCTACCAGGTGATTTCTGGTTCAATTGATTTTACTTCCTAACAGGAAGGAGCTGTCCAGAATGGTTTTGTGATTCCCCAATCCTTAAGGTATCTGATACTGCATATGTAGATCATCATCTTGTCACTGAGTATGATCTGTTTCTCCTCTTTGTTCATGGCTTTGGTTTACTGTGGTATTCTTAACTGCTTTGGCTATGCATTCCAATCCAGTTCTCTGCACATAGGATCCTTATTTCCTCCCCTGAGGTACATTTTGAAGTATTAAGGAACACAAGGTTGGCTTTAGGCAGAGAAGAGTGGAATGATCATTGTGTGTTCAAGAGATATTCAGACCAGGAGTCTAGTCCCAGCCCTGTCACTTACTGACCCTGTAAACTCGAGCATATTACCAAACTCCAAGACAAAGAAATCATAATCAACCACAATGCTGTTTAGCAATGCCAGTTATGTAATATATCCTCACTGGAGGATATAATATACAGTGTGTTTGTGGGAGAGATTTTCCTAGTTGGATATAACTTAAAGTTCTCGGAATTTTTGTCAATGACCTGTATTTTCCCTAACATCCAGCTGCCCTTCCATCTAAATCACCATTATTTTCATTCTTTCAATCATCAGGGTAAGGACTACCAGTCCAGTGGATTCTGGAAACCCCACCTCAAAGAAATATCATCCCTATTGCTCAGAAACTCCCTGGTGATGATGTACATAGAACATCTAGTCCATGCACCGTGTCCTGGGCAAGAGCACAGACACCTACTACTCCTCTACCACGTGGAGATTTTCTCAGTTTAGCCACAGTCCCAAAGAATATGTTAAGGAAAAACTTCCTTTGCAGGCTTAGTTTTTCATCCCTGAGGCCCTCCATGTGAGGGTCTGGCCCCTGCTCACCGGTCCCATAAGCCTCATCTAGCCCACCATGCAATCTTACTTGAAATTGCCCCTCGCTGAAGGGATGCAGTTTCCTAAAGCTGCACACGGCTTTGCCCCTGGACTTTGGTACCTGACTGCTTTCAATTCAAGTCTCTTCCCCTCTTCAAACCCCTCTCTCTCTTTTACTTGTTCTTTAGGTCACAGAGAGTATATCACCATCTCTATATGATAGCAGCATCCAGATGCTACACTTCAATGAGCAGGGGCTAGAACTTGTTGCTGTTTTGAGTTGTTTTTGTTTGTTTGTTTGTTTGTTTTTAAGCATCCCCAGTACTAGCCTGAAGCCTTCCAAAGAGCTCATTTTCACTTAAGGATTGGAAATAAATGAGAGTGAGCATGAGGCCTAACTCACCAACATTTCATTTCTCTTATACACCTGAGTAATCTAAGCAAGTCTATATATGTAACTTCTACTTTTATGGAAGAAACACTAGAAGGAACTAGGCAAACCAAGAATTGACAATCTTTTCCTTATTTATACTTTTTTTTCCTCTTAATGCTTAAATATTTATAAAGTGCCTACAGTGTACTAGGCACTGTGCTGAGGCTACAACCCCAAATAGGACAAAATATCTGCTTCTTTAAAAACTACTTTATTCAGGTATGACTGACATACCCAAAGCTGTACACATCTAATGTCTACAACTTGATGAGCTTGAAGGGAAGTATACTCTTGTGAACCACCACCATAACCAATGCCATAAACATACCCGTTACTTCCAAAATTTTCTCCTGCCCTTTTTATTATTTTTCAGGAGTACGGTAACAATTAACATAGTATCTACCCTCTCAGCAAACTTTTAAATAGCCAGTATGACATTGTTATCTATAGATGCTACACAGTGCATTTCTAGGACTTATTTACCTTATACAACTGAAACTCTGCATTCCTCACCCAGTACCGCTCTAATACCCCTCCTCTCAGCACCTGGCAGCCACCATACGATTCTGATTCGGTCAGTTTGACTATTTTAGATTCCTTATATAACATGCATTTGTCCTTTTGTGTTTGGCTTATTTCACTTAGCATAATGGTTTCCAGGTTAATCTCTGTTGTTGCAAATGGCAAGGTTTCCTTCTTCTTAAGGCTGGATAATACTCCATTGTATGTATATGCCATATTTTCTTTATACATTCATCCAACAATGAACATTTAGGTCGCATCCATGTCTTGGCTATTGTGAAGAATGATGCAATGAACATGGGGTGCAGATATCTCTTCAAAATCCTAATTTCAATTCTTTTCGATATAGACTCAGAAAGAGAATTGCTGGATCATATGATAGCTCTACTTTTAGTTTTTTGAGGAACCCTTATACTACTCCATAGTGGCTGTGCCAATTTACACTCCCATCAACAGTTTAAAAGAGTTGTCTTGCACTAATACTTGCACTTATTCAGCTTACTCTCTACTTGGGGAGAGAGCAAGACAATAAACTTTTTGATTGTTGTTGTGCTAAGAACACTTAAATGTGAGAACTACACTCTTAACAAATTTTTAAGTGCACAAAAAATATTGTTAAATATATGCACATTTTTTTCTAAGCACTGTTTTTTCTTTCTAAAAAATTTTTTTAATTTCATTTAAAATCAATTAATTAACACAGTGTATTGTTAGTTTCAGAGGTAGAGTTTAGTGATTCATCACTTAGGCACAATGTTTTACAGCGGATCTCTAGAACCTAGTCACCTTGCATAACTGAAACTATACCAGTTCAGCAAAGTATCATTTCTCCCTGACCCGCAGCCCCTGGTCACCACTGTTCTACTCTGTGTTTCCATGTGTTTGGTTATTTTGAATACTTTATATAAGTGGAATCCTGCAGAATTTATCCTTATGTGACTGGCTTATTTCATTTAGAATAATGTCACCCAGAGTCATCCATGTTGTCCTGTGTAAGAGGATTTCCTTTATTTTTGAGGCCAAATATTTTTAAGGCCACTGTATCTATATACCACATTTTCTTTATCCATTTATCTACCAATGGAGATTTGGCTTGTTTCCATACCTTAGAATTATTTTCAGTAATGGTGTAATGAACACAGGAGTGCAGGTAACTCTTTAAGATACTGATTTCATTTCCTTCGGGTATACACTCAGAAGTGGGTTCATTGAATCATGTGGTAGCTCTAATTTTAATTTGCTATGGAACCTCCAAACAGTTTCT